CTTGGTCCATTTTTTCTTCTTTGGATACGTTAAATCTTAGGGCCTCTTGACATGAACCCGGTTGACCGGGCTGGCCGGGTTTCCGAGATCTCGCCTCACCTCTAAATCCTTTGTAAAATTTTCGATTTGTTCATATGAGAGGGCGGGCTGGCTCGGTTTCCGGCTTCTCGGTTTTTCCAACCGAGATCTCGGCAAGCGGGCTGGAAATTTTGCCATGAGAACACTTCAGCCCGGCTACCGGGATGAAAGCAGGATGAATTGTGGCGGTCCAGATGGCATCGTCTTGCATTGACTGCTGTATTTTCCACATCATAGGCATCCGACTTAAAAGCAGTGATAAAACTTTAAGGGTTGCCGAAGTTATGATCGGCACGAAAGTTAAAATTTTAGTGTTTCGCCATATTTACTTGGTTTCTCGAATTTGGCACCAGAACTCGTGCCCAGGATCTTTAGTCTTTTCTCATCTCGGAAACCGGCCTGAAATTTCTCATATGAACCCAAGACGAAATTCGTCCCGGTAACCGGGCTCATGTGAAGAGGCCCTTGAAACTGTAATTTTTTAGCATCGATCCACTAATTTTATTTTAATCTTATTATGAAGAATAATCTAGTAATAATTATAGCAATATGGTGATATATCGTTCGTTCATTTCATTACAGATAGCGATGTATTTACGGGAGAACCAACAGCTTATAGAAAACCACAAGAGTTTGGTGAAAGTAATGGAGCTGTTGGTGGAGTCAAATATTAAGTCATCTGAAATGCACGAAGTACTAGCGATGAAGATGCATTACTTGGCATTTTTGTTAAAAACATGCGCGCGTTGGCACGAGGGACTAGAAGGCAAAGACGGAATTGAAGGCTTCTTAAAATAGTAAGGTTTATTAGTATTATTAGATAATAAAAATAATAGTATTAATGATAATAATGATAATGATTAACAGTGATTGAATGAGGCTGAGTCAGATGATTCAAATGATGTTTTTGATTCTACGTTTTAGTTTTTCGATTTTTCTCTGTTTGTAATGTTTAGACTCTCTTTTACTTTGGGGAGTCTTTTATATAGGGATAACCTCAAGATACCCCCTTTCGAGAGACATTTTGTTTTGTATTTTATCTCTTGAATAAAGTATTGTATTGTATTATTGTATTATGATACCAAAGCCGAATTCAGTAATTGTTTTATTATTCATTCAAAATAATTCATAGTTTGAAAACAAGCTAAAACAATCCATGCTAGCGCTTACCTCCTTAGGGCCTGTTTACATGGAAGTGGGGGACCCCAGGTAGGTGAGGTAACCCGCTTATCCGGGGTAAAAAAATAACCATCCTTTACATGCAATCTTAGAACCCCGCCACCTCGGGGTGCACATTTTCAAGATTATTGAATGGTCGCTAAGCACGTAAACAATAAAAATGCTGGCAAACCTCGTGTTTTGGCGATTAATGCCCTTCTACACTCACGTGCTGCTCTTGCTGCAACCTTCAGTGCTGTGGCTTTCTATTGCTACCTTTAATAATGATGCAAAGCCGCCGCCAAAATGAATTTTGCTCGAATTTGATGTATTCCGAATCCGACCCCGGCTCGTCGGGTTACCCCACCTTAAAACGTTTACATGGCAAAATTTGACCCCAGCTGAGAGGATTACCCGGTCTGGCAGACCGGGCTACCCGCCTAGGCGGTCACCCCACCTAACATGTAAACGTGATCCAAGTAAAATGAGAGATTATATGGACAGGCGGGTTAACCCACCTAAGCGGGTTACCTTACCTACCTGGGGTCCTCCACCTCCATGTAAACAGACCCTTAGATGTTACGTTCATCTTCGATAGTGCATGTTTATCGGCAAGTTTTGGAGATAAAGGTTGTTCAGTTCTGCAAATATTCTCCAAATAGCAGATGTCGTCCGTGGAGTTGTCTTCTTACTGTTCTCGCTGTGTTTTTAGCCAATAGTTCGCCCATTTCTTCTTCGTGAAATGAGTGAAACGTTCCGCCATTTTATATCATTACCAAAACAATTCAAACGTTCTGAATCTATTATTTTGACTTTCTCTCGACAGTCTAACTAAAGGTCGTCCCTCAGATGGATTTTTTCTTAATGTAGAGGACCTCATACGTCAGGCAATCAGAAGTTTCGATTATCCTGAGTGTACAATTTTTAAACAGTTGGTACAGACTATAGCGCCAGTAGAAAAGGTAGGTCGCTGATAGCAAGTTAAGTACTTTACAGTAGGCCAAAAGCACTGACACGTTACTCAGTTCGGTGATATATGTTTCTGATTAAGCTCATAAACAGCCACTCGCGCAGCCCTCTATGAATATACAATGTAAAGAGGACAGGTATTGTTGTCTTCTCATCCTTGACATTTCTTTTCATTTCATTTCACTCATTTCCTTGTTTCACAAAGTGCGGCTTTTCTGTTGGTAACCCCAAAAACCTGAACCGTAAAACCACGACTATGCACCTGTTAGTTTATCTACCAGATCTCCAGAAATACAAAATTGAAGAAACAGTAGCATTGTTTATTCCGATCCACGGGGCGCGGGGAGAGAAAGAACAAAACAAACTTGTATCAATAATTGGAATTTTTTTTGTTGGATTCTTATCACCAGTTACTATAACAGGTGAGACGTGAGATTTTCAACGGTCTAGAACGTTCATCGTCCTAATTTTTTTCCGTGCAATTGTTTGACCTTGAAGGTTAAGGCGTTGCCGTTTCCTCCCCCGTCCGCACAGGCATCTTTCACCCTCCCAAGATTTCGATTGCGAATTGAAATCAAGATGGTGGCCCGGCTATCGATCTCTACAACCTTCCCGCACATCAGTATCTATTTCGGTCGTTTCGCCCGAAAGTCGATTCGCCCGACGGCGTTTGCCAGGACATTAGTCGATTCACCCGATGGCATACAAGACTCTACAAGATTGTGAACATACCTTTCGAAATGTTATTTTAGTTACCCTTGAATTCCACATGTACAGTCACTGTCTTCCCATGCTGTTTCCTTTATCCTTTTTGTTTTGTTTTGTTTTTTTTTTAAAGAACGACAAATACGCTTCGGGCGAATTGACTTAATCTGGGCGAACTGCTATCGGGCGAACGACCTTCTGGCGAAACGACCTGATACCGCTTTAACCACATCTATGGCCGAATAATTATATATTTTCTGTAAAAAATTTCCCTGATAAAAGAAAGTGTAAAACAGTTTGTCATAAGCTCAAGTATGGATTAACATAGAAGTTAAATAGTATTTTAATCCACGGTGCTTGTTTAGCCGCGCGTTGCAGTCATTTCTTCAGTTTTCAAGTTCAATTTTCTGATCATTTGGAGCCAAGAAGTAGTGGACGAAAGAATGATTCTTCTTAAATTGACTGTCACACTTAACCCAGTTAAAGTTATTGGTTTTATTGTTTTAATATTTGCTTATTCGTATTTAACTTTTTGTGTTTGTGTTCAGGGAAGAGATCCAACCGCACTTTCTGTTATCACTCAGTGTATAAACGGGCTTCGTTGGTAAGTTAAAATTCATCAGTAACTGCATGGGCAAGAAAACATGGGTGAAATGTGTGCAGGAGTTATCTGCCAAAGCAACAAATCTACGCTAAAAATGTGTAAATACAGCAATCTACTGGCAGTACCTTCTCATATTTTAAGGCTTCTCCTTTCCAAATAAGGTTAAATGGCGTCACGCCGGAATGAAATGCTGTAAGCGAGTTTCAGCGTGATGCACAGAACACACAAATAAGCAATTCAGCGAAAAGTATTGAAGAAGTCAGTAAGGACTACTGTGTATTTCTCCACCACCAACACTGACTTCAATACTAAGCGTAAGCAAAGTTTGACACTTCTTTTTTTACCAGTATAGAGCTGCAAATATCCGACGACTTCCGATTAGAATACAAATGCATACTGTGTGCCTCATGTACGCAAGCAAATTGCCCTTTTTAACTGGGACATTTGCTCATTCAGTTCCTTAAACTCGCTTTCGTCCACAAAACGTATACACGCGTCCTTTCCCACGTCTTCCGCCATTTTAATTCGCGAAAGTCGCGAAGCATTGCGTGGGAAATCCCCCATCTGTCAACATTTGTTAAATTGAGGACATATGATTGGCTATCACTCAATCCTCTGGAGAGCTCCAGAAACCAAAAATAACTTCAAAGGGATTACGATGGGTATAGGACCTGTATGGGAGATTCATTCTCTTAGCCCCTTTATCCTCTCTTGACCTCCATTATGGATTTCTTGTTTTTTTACAAAGCATAACTCTTTGCAGGTCTGCAGTGGTACCCCAAAACTTAGATTTATGCAGAAAGCGTATGTTGATTGTTTGTTTCTTTTTATGGCACTCGAAACAATAAGAAAGTTTCATTAATAGCGTCCTCGTCGTTTCTCTTTCCAGTGCGGATTTTAGCGATTGTTGCTGTGTGTGCACTGAGAAAAAGGATGTGAAGAAATGTTCGGCCTGTAAAATGGTAAGTGGTAGAGATATATGAGCCACCCTTGAAAGAATCGTTTGGTTTGGTTTTGTTTCATTTTAGCTGCGTGTTTCTGGTTGTTTCTATGAAACAGTACTTGGCAAGCCCATTGGCGGGAATCCCATGTCAGAGGCTAGCTGGACCGCGTAGTCAGTGAATAACCAGCTTGTGTCTTTTCAGGTTGGTTATTGTAGCGTCAGTTGTCAAAAGCTCCACTGGCAAACACACAAGAAGTTTTGCAAGCAGTTGGCCAAAGATTACGAGAAGCAACTTGTCGCTAAGCTTGAGGCAGAAAAACTTCAAGAAATTGATAAAACTGAAAAAGATAAACCGGTTGAGGTTAATGGTGAAAATAAATGCGTGTTAAATGGAAAAGACGACCAATCTATGAACTATCAAAAGACAGCAACTAAAAATGAAGATGCAACGGCAGCTCAACTTCACGATGATAACAGAGAGATCAAGCATGAGCCCACGGGCACATAGTCAAGTGTTGTTGACATAGTAGTTTCTGTCTTATTAATAAGGTGATAATTTATTTCGTTTATCCGCTTATCCGTTACAGCGTGTGTGATTATTGCGCCAAAGAGCTTGATGTTATTTCCAGTCCCATATCAATTTCTTCTTAAATCCAGCGTTTGCTGCAAACGACAACAATTTACATTAACTATAAAGTTCTTCTTTTTTGAAAAGAAAATCGCATGTGAATAAAGTCATAGTCAAAGAATTCTTGTGACTGCCAATTTTTGTTTCTGTGTTCGTTTGCTTGTTCCACGGAGTTTTTAGTCAACGGATGCCGTTTTTTTATTTGATCGGGAAACTGGCAGACCAGGCTTTAGCACTAAATCTGCAGTTTATTCAGGCCCACTATTTTCTTTGGATGTTTATTCCTTTTTGTTAATACTCAAGTAATTTGCCCTTGAGTTTATTGCCATAAATACCTCGTAACAAGTGCTACTACGATCAAAATTTAATGTCAAGTTTGTCGTAAAAACGCTTTCTTTTCAGCTTATCAAAGGTGGCTGTACCTGTTTAGGTCATTGAAATGAACTTTGGCGCCCTCTAAGTGAAAATATTGAGCTTGAAAATGAAGGTTTTTTTTCGAGGTTTTTTGCGTCCGCCAGTACAAATTTATGTTCCAGCGAGCCCACGGTTTGGAGTTGCAGTCTTATAATACAAAGCTATTGTTCTCTGACTTGTGACGTCATTTTCTGGAGACACTGAGAAAAACAAACCTGTTCCGTGAGAAAACAACGAGCGATTCTCAAAGCTTAATAATAATAATAATAATAATAATAATAATAATAATAATAATTTAATATTTATATTGCGAAAAATACACGTAAATATGATCAAATGCGCATTACATGAAAGTAAATTGTCGACATTAATAAGTTATCCAAAATAACTAAAAATATTATATAAAAAAAACCATGGATCTATAAAAATATAATATATACATAATCCTAAAAAATCCTAATAAAAAGCTAATCTAAAAAACTGGGTCTTAAGTAAATTCTACTGGAAGCCAATGAAGCATACACAGAATTGGTGAGATGTGACAAAACCTTGGAATCTTAAAAATAAGTCTTGCTGCTGAATTCTGGAGCCGTTGTAACTTTGCTATTTATTTAGCTGGTAACCCATACATAATACTATTAGCGGAGCTCTCGCGCGCGAATCGCGCCAGCGGAACACCATGGGTAAGAAAATTTGGTAAACTATCCATCCGAGAAAATTTGGTTATGACGTAGCGTACGCCCGCCCGCCCGCCCACCCGTACACACACTTCATGTAAGCCGATGTCAAGTGTCACATTTGTCAGGAGCGAGAAATAAATAACAACGGAGACTAATTTCGTTGGAAGAAAAACATGAAAATTATATAGCGGCGGTTAGAAAACGAGAAATGCTAGCGGCTACTAATGTGAAAAAGGAGCGGCAGTGAAAAAGCAGAGTGAGCAGGAACACAAACATTTCCTCCATAAAACGCGTAAATAGGAAGCTAAAAGAAGTTTCACGTTAAAACCACGGTAAGGAAATGTACAAAAAAACTGCTGCACGTGCAAAGTTGTTTTTTTGCTAATTAGATCTATTGTTGTTGTTTTTACCGTTCTCGTTGCTTTCAACTTGTCTTTAGTATTACTCGATTTTATATTTTTCTTTGAGGAATCTATAAATATTAAAGAGAGCTTCGCTTTTAGCCCTGGCTAAATCTATATATTACAATAGTCAATGCGCCCAATTATTAGGGCATGAACAAGTGTCTGGGTTGCTTGGTTACTTAAATACTTTCTTATTCGTCTTACATTTGTAATGTAGTAATAGGCTGCTTTACACGTGTTATTGATATTAACTTGAAGCCTCATGTTACTATCTATCCATGTCCCTAAGTTCTTGACCGACTGAACAGGCGACACTTGAGCATCATCCCCTACTGCAAGCGAGTCAACATGAACCTTGGATAGTTGCTGATGGGTGCCTATTATTACAAACTCTGTTTTGCCATCATTGATTTTCTGTTTGTCAAACAGCATCCAGGCTCTTATCTCATTTACACACCGTTCCATAGCAGCAATGGCATCATCGGTACTCGAGGCACAGCCAGGTTTAAATGCTAAATATAACTGCGTATCGTCTGCATAAGCATGAACGCTAGGCAGGTGTCTCTTGACAACTTCAAACAGTTTACTGGCATACAGAGTAAACAGTAATGGCCCTAAGCATGACCCTTGAGGAACTCCTTGATTTAACTGTAGAGATTCTGAACACTTGCCACTTAGTGAGACACGCTGAGAACGTCCCGATAGGTATGACACAAACCACTCCAGTGCTGTACCTCGGATCCCAAAACTTGTGCTCAGACGAGATAGTAACACAGAATGTTCCACCGTATCGAAGGCAGCACTCAGATCCAACAACACAAGCAGAACAACTTCCTGACGATTCATTGCCATTAATATATCATTATATATCTTGAGTAAGGCTGTTTCTGTGCTGTGACCACGTCTATACGCAGATTGCAACAAGGGGTATAGTCAGGTGGCTAAAGGCTCGGATCTATACAGGGTGGACAAAAGCACCAAACCTTGCATGGTTGTAGCTTAGAGCATGTTAGTCAATTTTGGGATCGGTGCCCACAGCAACCTCTTCAGGATTTGCAGCAACTGCTCACTGAAGTTCTTCAACATCCTTCCATAATGGGTGCCCTGTGCCGAAAATTGCAATCCCTTGTTTTTTTGCCATATTTTGATGAAAATCACATAAAAAAGAAAGTAGATGGAAAAAAGAAACTGTATTAATACTATTATTATTGAAAACCAATGACTAAAACAAGTCAACTTAATGAGATAGCAATAATGATATACCATGGTGGGTTCCCTGTGCTAAAATATCAATTCCTTTTTTTTTGCCATTATTTTGATGAAAATCATATGATAGAAATGAAAATGAAAAAAAGGAAATTGTATTATCATTGAAACCAATGACAAAAACAAGTCGACTAAATGGAAAATCCAAGGAAAATGTCTTCAGACGCGTACTCAGTCCCAAATGGCCTTTCAAGATGGTGGTTGAAGGTTTCTTTTCATGGACTTGGAAGGCCGAGGAAGACGAGGAATTAAATAAATCAAGAGCTTTTGTTGAACTCGCTGAGTACATAGCAAATGCAGTGGAGAATGATACACATTTCTATGCCGAACTTCATAAACTGTATTCGTTACATACAAAGCACACACTATGCCGTCCCACTAGTGTCAGTCTCCCAAGCTTGTTTTGGTGCCACAATCTACAACTTGCTGTTTCTGGTCTGCTTCAACATGCTTGCTTCTCTTTTCTTTTGCATTTTCTAACTTGGACGTAAGGTGACAGGATTGATGCCACTTTGCATTTGTTTACTACTGTAGTGATTTCAATATCAAATTTTGATTGTAAATGTATCTGAGTGGTATGATATTTTAAAAAATATCATACCACTCAGATATTTGCACAATGATCCTGATAGATTTTAATATTTTGTAATAGAAATTTACCAATAGAACTTAAAAGCTTTTTATAAAAGGTCAAAGGAATGTTAATAGTGGTAACAGAACAAATATTAATAGTACACTACAAGAGCAAGGTGTGTCAGAGTGAGCAATAATAGTGTTTATAAAACTAGAGGGCTCTCTGTGATCTGTTACCTTAGGGCAAAACCTTTCTGAAGGTTTCCTAAAATGAATTTGTCTATAAATACCCAACTCCTAAAATCATGAGGGATCTGGAAAGACGGCTCAAACAAGACTGGAAGAAAATCCCGCTCTCCACGCGACATGACTTATCCCACTCGATGCCGCAACGGCGTCGGAGCGTGATAACAAACAAAGGAGGGCATGCCGGATATAGACTTTCCGAATATATGTACTCAGTAAAGCAATAAACGACTTTACGAAATTTCATGCAGAAGTGTAGTTTCGATCAAAAGTTATGTCGCATGTATTAGGAGGAACGAACTTTTGGGACACCCTGTAGGCCCGCCTTCTAAGGGAAGGACCATTAGAAAAGTTATAGCGGGGGTGGGGGGAATTTTCGAGCCGCAGGAATTTTTTTCGTTATCAAGTTCCTTGTATGAATTTTTTTAGGCCGTAGCATGAATATTTTTTAAGGTTTATTGGCGTGCATGAGTTTCTTCATTTAATTTTCCCTTGCCCGAATATTTTTTTGTACTTCGCCCGGCCCCCAATAAGTTTTCTAATGGTCCGTCCCTAAATGAAGCAAATTCCTGCTATGTGGAGCAATTTTGAACGTCAAAACCTCACTTTTGGTCCCCGCCCCCCTCAGAATATTTTTGTAAAACCAAAGCCGTGCAATACTTAATTTGTAGTAATCCTTGAGTTTCCGAGTAACATTTCCATTTTTACAGATTTCGACTGCCCACCGGCTGTCTTTGTACTAAAATAAGACCCAGTAGAAAAACAAAAGTTTATCGCTATTTCATTTACAATTTAAAATCCCTAAAACGGCTTTAAGATACAAAATCGGTTAACAAGAATACACTGAGAATACTTGCTTACCTAAGCCGAGAATCATCCCGAGCCGTCCTAATAGAATATTTCCACACGACCTGATCGAGCATTGCATGTCTTATCTCTTTGGTATTGTCCAGACCAGTATCAGCTTTGATGGTGTCAATGTATGTAGTTCTAGGTCTACCTCGATTTGGGTGACCATGTTGGGGTTCCCAAAGCAGCACTTTTAAAACAGCATCTTTATTGTCTTCATTGTGACGTGCACAGTGGCCGCTAATCTTAATCTTCTCGCACAGATTGTTTCACTATAAACCCTTGGAAGGCTCCCATATGGCCCCTGATTGTTCATATGCTGTCGCCAGTGCACATGCAGGGCCGTTCGCAGCATTCTGGTGTAACATCCATTGACACTTTTCTCCAGCTTCTTCGTCACGGTCCACGTTTCACTTCCATAGAGTAAGACAGACTCTACAGTTACTCTAAACGGTCTGATCGTTGTTACTGGAAGCAGTTTTGAGGTCCACACGAATGGCAGTACTAAATACATGGCACTTCACTTTATGCATTTAATACAATACATAATTTAAAAACTAAACACATTTCCAGTGGCAATGAATTTGAGGCAAAAGGTCAACGATATAAATAAATCGCTTATCGAACATGACAGCGACATAAATAATGTAAATCTTTTACGAATCTCACTAGAAGACGAAAATGAATCCCCGCCTAAGCGTTCATTTCCACTGTCGCGTAATTTTTACGTGCGTACGTGCGTAAGATTTACGTTCGCAAACAAAAAAGAGGTAAATGAGAGGTAGCACGTAAGCGTAAAGTAGAACCTTACTCAACTTCGCGTTTAATCTCAACACATTATATCTTACCTCTATGTTATTTACGTGATTAAAACTTACGTGCGTTAACGTGAGTAGCCAAAAACACGTTAGTAGAAAGCAATCTTAAGCCTCGCTAAAGCCGCGCTTTTTGTCCCGGCTCCCTGATACTTGCGTCTAAATATTGTCGAAAACGCCGCACAAAGTGCCGAAAAGAGCAGTCTAAAACGTCTGGAATCCCCCGCTAAAGCCCCGCATTCCCCGGCTATGGGGGTGCGGGGCTTTCCACTAACTAGTGCATTACATCGGTCATAAGGTGGAATTTCAGGCAATGTGGTAAGTGGAAAGAGGATCCATTCATCACGTCGTTCACTGCTCTTCCTCACTTGTTAAACAACCATACCAGCTATTCCCGTTCTAACAACTGTTAGGTGGCTTAGGTCAACCAGTGGTATATTCTGCCCGGCAGGCTTGGAAATGGGTTCGCCATAATATCGCCCTGATTAACCTAATATTTTCACATGGAAGCCTACATCCTGCGTTTGACGGTTTGCTGTCATTTTCCTTTGGAATTTTATGAAATTATAGAAGAGATCCATATAAATACTGTGTGAAAATGTGTCTAATTTAATTAGTATGAATAATCATGGCTTGCTTAAATGTTGCGTTATGGTTTTCCAACCATCGTTCACTCCATCCTAAGAAAACCAGAGGTTCCCAGTAGTAGCTCTGAATCTAGACTTTATATCCATTCGGAAAATTTGTACCAAAAAGAAGGGTTAATCCCTAAGTGTAACTCTTGAGACCAGGTTTAGAATCATTTGAATTCCGGGCCTCCTACATTGGCCAGAATTACTCCCTGGGATCCAAAACAAGTTTAACAAATTGCTTACTTTTCTACTTTATTTATAGCTTTCGTTTTCGCATGATTTACAATAACAAATTTATCCTGAGAGCCTTTTTTCCTGCATTTTGTTAACAAAGTAAAAACGAAAATTGTCTCGATCTAAACTATTCAAATGTGTTTTTCCTGCCAAAATGTCATATAAATATTTTTCTCTGCAGGAAATAACCTATTTTAACGTATAAAGCTCATGACTAACTTTCTAATAATTATACCTAAATAACAAGGTTAAAATAAGATAGACGAAAGCTTTGTTTTAACGTTATATCTATAAAATAGTTATTATTTTTCTTTTTTTTTTTTTGAGTGAAATGGTTGATGGTTTATACAATCGCAACAAGAGGACACAATAAAATTACTTTAAACGAAGCAAAATCTTTTATTGTATCTTATATAAATCGCCATCCTTGCTTAAAATTAAATACCAAATTATTAGTATATGGCAAGCACACCATTCACTCTTCATAAATGGAAAGTAACATTAAATCTATTTTATTCTCTTTTAGCGATTCCTTATCCTGACTTGATTAGTTAATGAAATTTAACAGTATTTAGTTAATAATACAACAAATGGTTAACTCATTCCCTTACATGTAACTAGCACAACAACTATGAATATTTTTTCTATGACTAGTTTCATTGTCTTTCTTTTCTATAACAACGTGATTATACTTCCATTAAGTTGTCATTCATTGGTTGATGTTTTTCTAATCTTTTCAGGAATGATATACTATTACCAAAATTAGTATCCTCTACTGGTTTAACGCTGCTGGACTACTGATAACTAAATAACAGTCCTCACATTCTAGTATCAAAGTGGAATTCTAATGTATGACATAAAGTCTGGAACTCCTGTAGTCTTGGTTCCTTTCTTGTGGTATAATTATGTTGTACTAAGTGAGCTAGATAATTACCATTTAGCCAGAAATTTCAAAAATTCCAGACGGAAGGTTACCGGCAAGGTCGTTTTTGGGAAAGGTTAACCGAACTTTGAGAACTGCGTTTTTAGGTTGTCCCCTCATTCCGGTGGACGGTATCAATTTAATGTAATGTTTAACATTTGCCAATTTCTCGGTTTCAGACCTGCCCTAATTGACACCTTCTTTGGATTCAATTCGTAACAGGAGTTACAACTCTGCGGTGAACTGGTAGATCGCTTGCCGTTACGCTTTAAAAATACCAACCGGACTTTTCTGTCAAATGGTAAGCACCCCAGAATCAGGTTGAACACCTCAAACCAGCCGGTAACACAATACAGTTTTCCTGGTCCTGGTTCTTCGCGAGATGATCAAATTTTATTCAGGGTCAAGACACATTTATGATACTCTAAACAGTCTATATGAAGGTATACACAATTGAGAATCAAATTCTTTAATCCTGGATTAGCACTAAACAGCCTAAGGCTTAAACAAAATTTTCTGTTTTCTCCCTTAGTGTATTTTATCCGAGTATAAAACATAGTTTGGAAGTATCCATTCTGTCTACACTATTTCACCCTGTTGGTTATTGCTCGCCTGTCGAAGACTGCCCCATTTAAGGTTTCTGGGGGGTGGTATTGGCCTATTACTTGCTTGAGCTGCTCGTCCAGCTGGGTTTTCTTTAAATTCGGGGTTATCCTCAACCTGTGAGTATTTTGCGGAACTGTACTTCTCCATGTTCATCTCTAAGTACATCTTAAAGGAAGAAAATAAACCACTTATAAATGTAAATTGAAACAAAAAAATGTCTTTTTCGCGATAGCCCTCATGTTTCAAAAGGAGCAAACATTCGCAAATTTCTCGGTTTCAGACCTACTCCCCTTTGTCGGGGAAGGGTGCGGCTACAGGAAGGCTAGACTACGACGTCAAAGAAAACATAACTTACACTAAAAGAGAATTCAGGCTCCTTCAAACTTTATCGCTTTTATTTTTATCTCGTTAAATTTGTCAAACGTAGGCAAAGTTTCCTTGAATTTTATTGCTGAGGATCGTTCCCAAGAGTGAGTGTAATAGTCCTCAAGATTCAGTTGTCTTGGAGGTCGTAGTCCAAAACGCGTGCATTTGGTCGTGTACAGACAGCGAAGTGTACTAAGTATGATGCACAAGCATCATACTTACACGTGTTTTGAATTGTTGACCTTTTTTTCCATTAGAGGTCTGTAGAATTCTATGGTGCTCTAACTATACTTTTCAAACTATAAACCGACTCTTGAATTGGCAATACTTTCTGATGTGCCGAAGATGGCCTAACTAGATTAAAAATGAGTTTGTGGAATATGCTTTTCGACTTTTCACATGATTTTGTTTGTTTTCACTCACGGTGCGTTTCCTGAATAGATAATCCATTGTCAATAGGCCTTTTGCAATGGTTGGTCACGTGGTCAACTGTCTGTAAACACGAAACAGTTCGCTTTTGGAAATTTTCAGCAGGAAATGAAAGAAAATATCAAAACTACGCAGCCTGCAGATTTTCAGCCGTATATAGCAAAATTAGAGGATGCAACGCCTCCAAAAGGACGCATTTGAGGGAAGGGATCAAGGTGTGTTTTATTAAAGAGATATAGTCAAGACCGTTTAAAAATTGCCAAATTAAAGGGAATTTTAAGGAAAACCACTCTGACTGACTTGGTGGCAAGGGTTATTTTTCCCATACAGATCCTTCTAATTTCGGCTGGCCGTTATACAATCGCTACTTTTTGAAGTATATGGCTGAAGATTTACAGGTTACCTAATCCACTATTAACAATTTTCGCGCTTACAGAAAGTTTATCACGAGATCAACTATTGCAAAAGGTCTATTCGTACACTACTGACAATTTTCGTTGGTGTCTTGTCAAAATCTGTGTTTTTTACGCTTCAAATACAAGGCACCTGTCCATTTCACCACATTCTTCCTGCTAAATTTTTTGGTCCCTTTCACCATTTTCACAACGCCCACAATACACCTTGTTTACTCCCCTCCACTTAAAAAATTGCAGGACCATTGTTTTCAGTCCTCCCAAGAAAAAATTTAAAACAGTGCAGATGCAATTTTTCAATAGGAGAGTAAACATGATGTACCATTGATAATTTAAAAGAAAAGGGAATATGAAATTCTCGGTAAGACTATTGACTACAAAAAAGCACCTAGTAAGGCACGGCCTCACGGAAGAGTAATAGTGCCGGAACCGTAAGATTGTAACACATCATGCACCTTAAATCGAGGCATGCTCTACATACCCCCAAAAGACTGAATAAAATTGTAAAATTACCTTCAGAGTCATTTTGAAAAATATAATAAAGTTGAGAACTCTTAAATCGCGACATTTAATGCCCTTATTTAAACGTTGCCTATTGAGATCGCGAGAATAAGACCGCGCGAAATAATTTCTCGCCAAAATCTCAAAATAAAGTTCCCGCAAAATTAAGTACGAATAAGGTAGCTACGAAGAGAATATATATTCTTGACACCATAAAAGGTAAACAGTGGATTAAATTGTTAAAAAAAGTAACCTTTTTCTCGATGTATGTGACCAGTTTCTGACGAAGAAATTCGAAACTTGGGCGAAAGTCGGGCCCTTGTTGCCAGCATCTCTCCATCAGGTGGTACCTGAAAGTTGAATAGCAAATCAAGATGCTCAAAATCTTACATTGAGCTTAAAAAGAACACATTACGAGATCAATGTTACCAAACGATCGTTTCCAGTCAATCTTGTTTCGCAGTTCTTACTGCCCACACTGGACGAAAAAACGGATTTACCTCTATAGCAAATTTGGAGCAAATCATCTGCAAATGCCACATTTGCTTAATTTTGCTCAATTTTGCCACATGACATAGGACCAACTTTGCCATAATTTTGCATCAGTGGCAAAGGTGGTAAATGCCGAATTTGCCTTAAATTTGCCCCGTGTGTAAAAACAAGGATAACCTTTACTTTATCAAGGCATTTACAGGGGTGTCAAACTTGATAGCAAAACTGACATTTGTCAGGTTTTTGCCCAAATGGGCAAAAGCGATCGAAGATGAATTTTTGAATGCTTTTGCTCTCTATAGCAAATTCGGTCAAAGTAGTAATTTGCCACATTTTTGCTCAATGTAGCAAAAGTGACCAAAACTCATTTTTCAACAGTTTTGCCCAGGATAGTAAATCTGAGCAAAAATTCACGTTTGCCACTGTTTTGCTCAGGGTAGCAAATTTGGCCAAATACCACTTTTTTCTCAAGTTTGCTCAGGATGGCAGATATGATCAAAACAGTAGTTTCCCATACTTTTCCCCATTGTAGCAAAGTTGATCAAATATCAGTTCTTCTGTATCTTTGCTCAGGATGGCAAATATTGCCATGATAGCAGTTTTCCATACTTAAAGTAAGGTAAACAAAGTTGATTAAAATATCACTTTTTTACACTTTCACTCAAGATAGCAAATTTGATCAAAACATCATTATCCAGATGTTTCTTATTTTTATTTGGTACCATAAATGACTCACAAACAATTAAGACACCAAACAAAATTTCAAGAATAAAATGACTTTATCTTTAATATACACTGTACAATAAAAAGCAAGATAAATTAAAAGAAAGTTCCATTGGCCTCTGCAGGGCACTGCATGTACCACAAAATATATGCCTTTAAATAAAAAGCACATACAATGTGAAACTATCTAAATTCATAAGTGTATAAGAATGTACATTGGGTTTGAAAGTACAAGTCAACACTAGCTGGTTCATAATTATCTAAGGTTGGTACAGGTAAAACGTAACTCCATTTGAGTGGTATACTTCAAATATACTCTTTCTAGATCCAATTGATACTATTGGCAAATGGTTGTACGATGACAACAAGTACACATCACTCCCAATGTAGATGTGACATCCTTACTAACGGACAGAACATCAACCACAGGAAATAAAATTAGCCTCAAATTATTATGATAAGCGATATTCCCCTAATTATTATTTATAAGAACTTGTTTTCATCTGATAAATATTATCCACTACCCAAAATAGGCAGTGAATAATATCATATAGTGTACCTAGTGCTATTCACTTACCCCAAGGGGAGATACATCTGTATGATTCATTTTTAACCAAATCAGTTATATAAAAATATTTCTTGTAAATAAAATGAGTTACTATGCGAAAGCTCTGTGCATTTCTATGATTTGGGTACGACTTTGATATATTTCTACCCAGCAGTAAACACTTATAAGGTTAATTTTGTCACCTTTTTAGCATGTACATGTATTTTATTTTACAGGTGCTTTATTTACTGCTAAACCTCTAAAACTAGCATGAAATGACACCCCAATTTTACTCTCACCCTATAGGTAGCCAAAAGCTTTTCAAGTTATGAAAGCAAATCTGCTATCCACTGATTTGGTTAAATACTTGTATTATTATTATTATTATTATTATTATTATTATTATTATTATTATTATTATTATATCATTGTAAATAATATGGTTTGGTGAAATTCTTGTATTATTATATGACCATAAATAATTTATTACATTTGTTTTTTTTACTAAAATCAAATTATTTGCTAAAAATTTGAGCAATTTTTTTCTGATTCACATGATCAGCTGTTTTGCTTGCAGTATTGGACTGATTAAATATCCAAATTATCCAAACACAATCTATACACTATGAAAGCTCTGTAGAACTTCTTTAATTCATCATCATTATTATTGTTATTGGCATGCAGGTGATTAAAATTTAAGCCATGCTTACCAAAAAACTGTTATCACACACGGTATTTTTTTTTTGCATAAAACATAACTGCACTCGTTTTTCATAAAATATGCCAAGAACAAAATAGGATCATGGCATTTGGAGTCCAGTAATTACTCTACTATGGGGTGTATTGGCTAGATTTAGTCCTCGGAGTGGCACTTTTTAAGGCAGTGCTTAGGGTAGCCCTAGGATTTGTCACCACTGCGGAAAGTGGATGCAGATGTATCTCCAATTACATATGTTGGGTGAATGGACACGATGACTGAAAATACAGCTGCATTTACAGGCTACTAGATGGAAGGTTTTTAAAATTCAGTAAAGTTGCCAAGTTACAGAGTGATTCGGTGCAAACTAACAAGGACAGCTCTGCAAAGATGGCAAATTTTGCAGACATTTGTCTGGTAAGGGAAAGTTTGTGGCTCCACCATACCATACAAAGGTCATTGAGATTATGTGACTTTGTGTCAACACTTTATTTCAAATCGGACTAATCACAGCGTAAGAACCTAGCCAATCACAAAATGCTGACATACATGCATGTCTTTGTGACGCAGTGGGATTCAAACATGATATTGTGCACTAATTCTCAGACGGCATGCTCTATACAGAAGGTTTAGAGTGTCTGCAACACAGGCAAGATCTTCATTGGATTGTGACAAATCACTTTGAGATTTGGTAATTTACCTAGTTTTAACGTGGCTCCTTCCCATGGGTGTCAAAGGATATTCACTTACTACATTGTAGGTCTTCATCAAAACTCAAAAAATTGTGCAATTGTCTACTGAGTAAATATGGTTCTAGGAACTTAACTGAAAAGGAACTGAATCATGATGCATGTCAACTTCAACTTGAGTGTTATTATTATTTTGTACATTTTTATCTAAAATGTCTTCTTCTTTTCTGAATGTTCTTCGAAAAATTATCTGTGTTATGCTTATGATCAAGTTCCTTTTTCTATTGTAAGTGGTGGGTGCCAGAGCAAACTCAGGAGCATCGTCTGGTGCTCCTTGATTTGATGCTGGTCTCACTGTGTGCTCTATTACCATTATTTTCACTTCATTGACTTTGACACCATGCAACTTTGCGGTCCAACTGGGCCATTAAACCATTAACCTCAATGCTCTGCCAGGAAAGTGGCCTTACACAGGGATTTTCCCTGTTTGGGAGGTCCTCATCTGAACCTGAAGAATTACCTTCATGCCACTCTGATACAGCTGTTTCAGACAAAGACTCCTCTGATGACATATATGCAAAGGACATACATGCAAGGTACTTGTCCTTGTCTGACTAACTGATGCTAGTTGACTCCCTCAGAGCATATTGGCCTTTTAATTTTTTTTCTGAAAGAAAAATGACGAACCATGATTTAGCAGCCAACAAGTAACCCACAGTTGGTAAACAAGCATGTACTGCTCATACTCAGTGTAAATGATTGGGTTGCAGAACAATGACACAATGCTAAAAGCTGAAAACACTCTCTTAATCAAAGGAACAGTTTGAGGATATTTGTGAGAAAAATTTCTCCCCGCATTTTATTCCTACTAACTTTTCATTAAATATATAATATGTTTTTGGAACAGGTGTTAAAGTAGAGAGCAGAAATGCCTCTTTCTGTTGAATCTGCATTTGTTTCATTAAGACTCTTTTAAGTGTAAATAAAGACTGAAATAAATTAATTCCCCTGTCATTCAAGAGCAGAACTGATAGTGTCCCACAGGTCACCAGGCTCTAACAGAGCACAACCATGACTCAACTGTACACATAAACCGTAAAACCGGTCAGAACCTGAGAAACGTAACATTAAGGCAACCCACATGTTGCTTAGAACAATAATTGATTAATTGTGGTTATTTGGCATGATAAAGCCAAAGCATTTACTTGCAAAATGAACTAACAAAGATCCCTCGACATCATTGAGCTGTACAAAAGGTATAAATAATGAGGTATTGTCGTTTAAAATGTGGAACAGTAATACAGTGGTGACTTGGAATGACACTTATGCTTCAGGATCTGGCAAGTGCCGTCATTCGCAAAATGAGCCAAAATTAAGATCTCACAATATCACTGACCCATATTTGTAAAGCATAAGAGTTTTGGATGGTACAATTTATGAAAGAAGAATCACTTCTCATTTAAATGTGGAACAATAATGCGGTGGTCACTCAGAATGACACATAGGCTTCAAGATCTGGCATACGCCGTCACTCGCAAAATGAACCAAAATTAAGATCTCACAATATCACTGAACCATATGTGTAAACCATAAGAGTTTTGGATGGTACAATTTATGAAAGAAGAATCACTTGTCATTTAAATGTGGAACAAAATACGGTGGTCACTCAGAATGACACATAGGCTTCACTCGCAAAATGAAAAAAATGCCGTTACTCGCAAAATGAACCAAAATTAAGATCTCACAATATCACTGAACCATATGTATAAACCAAAAGAGTTTTGGATGGTACAATTTATGAAAGAAGAATCAATTGTCATTTAAATGTGGAACAATAATACGGTGGTCACTCAGAATGACACATAGGCTTCAAGATCTGGCATATGCCGTCACTCACAAAATGAGCCAAAATTAAGATCTCACAATATCACTGAACCAAAATTAAGATCTCACAATATCACTGAACCATATGTATAAACCATAAGAGTTTTGGATGGTACAATTTATGAAAGAAGAATCACTTGTCATTTAAATGTGGAACAATAATACGGTGGTCACTCAGAATGCCACATTGGCTTCAAGATCTGGCATATGCCGTCACTTGCAAAATGAGCCAAAATTAAGATCTCACAATATCACTGACCCATATGTATAAAGCATAAGAGTTTTGGATGGTACAATTTATGAAAGAAGAATCACTTGTCATTTAAATGTGGAACAATAATATGGTGGTCACTCAGAATGACACATAGGCTTCAAGATCTGGCATACGCCGTCACTCGCAAAATGAACCAAAATTAAGATCTCACAATATCACTGAACCATATGTATAAACCATAAGAGTTTTGGATGGTACAATTTGTGAAAGAAGAATCACTTGCCATTTAAATGTGGAACAATAATATGGTGCTCACTCAGAATGATACATAAGCTTCAAGATCTGGCATATGCCGTCACTCGCAAAATGAACCAAAATTAAGATCTCACAATATCACTAAACTATATGTATAAACCATAAGAGTTTTGGATGGTACAATTTATGAAAGAAGAATCAATTGTCATTTAAATGTGGAACAATAATACGGTGGTCACTCAGAGGGACACATAGGCTTCAAGATCTGGCAAGTGCGGTCACTCACAAAATGAAAAAAAATTAAGATCTCACAATATCACTGACCCATATGTATAAAGCATAAGAGTTTTGGATGGTACAATTTATGAAAGAAGAATCACTTGTCATTTAAATGTGGAACAATAATACGGTGGTCACTCCGAATGACACATAGGCTTCACTCGCAAAATGAAAAAAATGCCGTCATTCGCAAAATGAACCAAAATTAAGATCTCACAATATCACTGAACCATATGTATAAACCATGAGAGTTTTGGATGGTACAATTTATGAAAGAAGAATCAATTGTCATTTAAATGTGGAACAATAATACGGTGGTCACTCAGAATGCCACATTGGCTTCAAGATCTGGCATATGCCGTCACTTGCAAAATGAGCCAAAATTAAGATCTCACAATATCACTGACCCATATGTATAAAGCATAAGAGTTTTGGATGGTACAATTTATGAAAGAAGAATCACTTGTCATTTAAATGTGGAACAATAATATGGTGGTCACTCAGAATGACACATAGGCTTCAAGATCTGGCATACGCCGTCACTCGCAAAATGAACCAAAATTAAGATCTCACAATATCACTGAACCATATGTATAAACCATAAGAGTTTTGGATGGTACAATTTGTGAAAGAAGAATCACTTGCCATTTAAATGTGGAACAATAATATGGTGCTCACTCAGAATGATACATAAGCTTCAAGATCTGGCATATGCCGTCACTCGCAAAATGAACCAAAATTAAGATCTCACAATATCACTAAACTATATGTATAAACCATAAGAGTTTTGGATGGTACAATTTATGAAAGAAGAATCAATTGTCATTTAAATGTGGAACAATAATACGGTGGTCACTCAGAGGGACACATAGGCTTCAAGATCTGGCAAGTGCGGTCACTCACAAAATGAAAAAAAATTAAGATCTCACAATATCACTGAACCATATGTATAAACCATAAGAGTTTTGGATGGTACAATTTATGAAATAAGAATCATTTGTCATTTAAATGTGGAATAATAATACAATGGTCACTCAGAATGACACATATGCTTCAAGATCTGGCAAACTTGTGCCGTCACTTGCAAAATGAACCAAATTAAGATTTCACAACATCACTGAACCATAATTATGTATAGATGTAAAACAAGAGTTTTTGACTGTAAAAATTTCAAAAGGGAAATCATTTGTCATTTGAAATGTAGTAGAATATTAAATAATAAATTATAGTGACCACTGCTTTATCAAGTGCTGTCACCTGAAAAGTACAGTAACCCCAAAGATCTAACATATTAACTCAGCTGTACAACAAGCCAAATTTCTGAATTATGGACATGCTAAGGTCACATCACCGACTTATATTGGTGTAAAAGAAATGTTTGCCTGCACAGCTCAAGATCCGGCTACTTAAGATTATTCTATTAATGAAGACGATGCGCAACAAAGAGTACAGTTATTTCTGCAGTAAACAAAAAGGAATCAATCAATGGCATATCTGTGCATGCATCTTAAATTTTAAGATTTATCTTTGAGGTTTTAAGCTTACGCAAAGTTATTAGAAAACCAAAGTAAGTAAACGAACCACGATATCAAGAAGAACATACCTTTCTGCAATCCAGCTGAGTTGATGACTTGGAAACAGGCTTTATGTGAAGAATATCGCAACTGATCACTGTCTCTCGAAAATAACAAAGGTATAAATCGTAATAGAACAGCTGAATAGAAAGACAGGCTTTCTATTATCCGAAAATAACAAAACTACTCGTTTTGCAACGCTGTATCGCTTGTGAAGTCCGCGTGAATTTGAACTGTTCAACGAAAGTTTATTTTACACTATTCTATTGGTTCAAAAGCCGCACGTGACAATGTAAATCAAATCGCGCATGTGCCAAAGTCACATGGAAGCCTGGGCAACAAACATGGCGGCTGCTCTTGCGACGGAGTGCATTCAGGACTACATTCACCCGGACGATGAAACTCTGCAATCTACTATTGAAATGACTCCTGGGTTCAAACCTTTCACATATTGTGCATTTTGTTCACCCAAATTGTAAATGGTAACGTCTTACGTCAGGGCCTCCTATTCCGAGACTTCTTGTGATATTTTTTTCCGTGCCACCAACACAATATCAGGAAACGCATTCGACGCTAAACGAAAAAAGAGGGGGGATGGCCTTACCCGAAATAACCAGCTGCAGCAAGTAATATTATAAACTTTGAGAAGAATGTGATGGTGATTGAAACGGAAAATGCAATGGAAAATCAAAACTTGCGTGAAATAACACTGTGAAGTTTGGTAAATGTGCAAACGTTGGTTAAAGTGGTCGTAAAGATAGTTCTTTGATCATATTTTGCTTAAATTTACGCCTCTAGTAACCATAAATTTACACAGTAACTTTGCTATGCCAGAAAATATCAAGCAAACATTCAGTTTTGACGTTCGGTTTTTACACACAGAACAAAATGGTGGCAAACTTGAATCTAAACGCCAAATTTACTATGGGGAGCAAAAGTGAAACAAAATATCTGTAAACTTGAAATTTACTCCACATTTACGCCACCCTTGCAGAATAGTAAACTTTCACTTTCGAACAAAATTTGCACCAAGAACAAATAAGTAGCAACATTAGTACCCTAAATTTACAATAGATTTGCTCAACTAGCAAACTTAGGCAAATCCGTTTTTTCGTCCAGTGCCAGAGCCCCGAGAAGCTACCGCCCTCCTTTGGAGCGCCTAAGGGGAGACGTTATTTAGTTGGTGCAGAGCACTTTTCGTTAAAAAAAATGGGCCTTGTCTAGAGGGTGGATCTTCTGAAGGCCCTCAATATTGATGTTTCCTAGGATTTTTTCGACGTATTTAACTAGGACCTCTTTAACCAGGCCAAGAGCTCTAATGACTACAGGCACAGTTTCTGTTTTAACGCCCCACATCTTCGAGATTTCTTTATATTTTAATAGCTTTTCAACCATTTTGACAGGTTATTTGTTCAGCGGATACAGCCATATCGATCAGTAGGCATTTCTTCAGCTCTTGGTCCCTTATAATGATCTGTTGAATTTGGTTTCTGTTTTTAGTGTTAACCGGCATGCCCCAGAGAATAGTACAGGATTCATTTCCATTTTCTGTTATTGTCTCTGGTCTATGCTCCACTATGTTCCAATACGGTCCACTTGTCCCCCACTTTGATGTTGTAGTCTTTGCAGATATTCCAGTGGATGTAGGAGGCGACCTTATTGTGTCTCTGTATGTACACCGACTTTGCTAATTCAGGGCAGCCACTTGTTATGTGATCGGTGGTTTCTTCGTAGTGGTGTCAAACTCTGCACATTGGGTAGCTCTATTATTATGACGGTAAGAAACTTTTGAATGCCAAAAGTGAGATACTATGTATCCTATGCATCAATAACCATTAAAAAAGAGGTACCAAATCTATTTAAAACTGCCTACAAAACATTAACAACATTTTAAATGATCAAGTTTTCTTAGCAATACTAAATATGGCTATGCTACAAAAAGGGGTTAAAAGATGTGTTAAAATGTGTTGAAAACGTCAGTATAAAAAAAAAACAGTAACTAAACAATACCGAAAATATGGTTAAAAATTGACTAAAAAGTATTTAAAAACAATCAAATTTGTATTTCTTAGCGTATACTAAATTTTGTTGCCCTAACAATTGGCTAAAAGTTGCATGACGCTTTAAAGATAATTATAACGTTCAAATCTCTTTAAAAAAGGTTCAAAGTTATATAGGGACTGTACAGGACCATGCAATGTTTAAAGAGTGTGATAAAACACTTTCCTGCATTCTTTTTAAAATCAGCTTTTCTTTCCTTTCTCCGAGCTGTGACTTAACGTTCTTGGCCGTGTTAACCGAAACAGCTCCCAGAACATCCTACAATGGTATTACGTTGGGTCACTTATTCATATCCTGGATACTGCCTCTTGAGTTTAAAGCAAAGTGGCGCATATTGACGGCATATCTCATGGTCTTCTCCGACTCCTTTTCTTCTATGTTTTTAATCCAAGAACCGCTCATTTCTAGTGGTGTTACTATCTTATCTTCCTTGTTAACTATTCTTTCATCCTTGCATCTATTCTGTTTGCTTTGACTTAAGTGTTCTAGGCACAAACATGCACATGCAAATAAGCTTTAGCGCGCTGGTTTTCGTTTATTGGTTTTGGTTCAGCAAGAGAAAACCATGGAGGGATGGATGTCGATCAGACCCAGTTTTTTTCAGCAGCTTGAAGAAAAGGATCTTTAACACCGAATTGTGTCAAGCAAGGTATTTCATCTGCACCAGAGCTGAGCAGCAGGCAAGCACGTGCGACGTGGAATCTTGGGATTTGCTACAAAATTCTATATGTGACATCATACAGATGGATTCAACCCCGTTCTTCTTTTTTGATAAACTTTCGTTGGATGGAGCTGCTGGTACAACTCCTGTGCGCCCCCGGTGGTACTAGGCAGCACTGATCTGCAGGCTGCTAACCATCACTGCACGAAAAATTGGATTTACACAAATTTACTCGGTGCAAATATAGTGCAAAAAAATGCAAAGTAGGAGTAAATCAAAAGCAAAGATGGTAAATACCGCATTTGCTTGCCAGTTTACATGGGGTTGTAAATTTGAGGCAAATGCGGTATTTACCATCTTTGCCTTATATTTAACATAAGTTTGCACTTTTTTGCACCAAATTTGCACTGAGTAAATTTGATGTAAATCAAATTTTTCGTGCAGTGCCATTCAAAACAGTCATCCTCCAAGTCGTCGACATTCCAATTTTTTGCTGCTAGCTTTGCTTGCCAGTTCTCATTTTTAGCTCCTTACATTCGCTTTCTCTTTAATTCTTCCCTATAACATCTCATAATTGACGCTCCATCCACTTCTCTGTTGTCTCATTTTTAGCAACAGGATGTGGGTAACTTAAGTGAAGTTCCAAACCCAGTCCCTGGGCATATTTCTTGGCATCTTTAATTAACGCCTTGGACCACTTCCATCGGCGTTCTCTTCATACCTTTTATCCACCTGCATCACGGGGTCTAGATTACTGTACAGCTTGGCAGCCTCCTTGATCTTGGTCAATATATATTCTTCCTCCACTGACTTAAGGCCTCTTCCTCCAGATTTCCTAGGGAGGTACATCAACTCCGTTGATCCAAAGGGGTGCTTGCTTCCGCTTTGCATTCTTACTTCTCTGTCTTCTCCGTGCGTTTCACGTGTATATCTCAAACATTTATCGAATACACCTCTCAATGCTCTAATAACAATTGACACAACCGTTACTTTCTTCAGCTTCGACAATTTCCCTGTTTCTTTATAAAGAAGTTAATACTTCTTAATTGTTTACATTCTTTGTCTTTCTCTCGTGCATCTCCTTGGATAGCAATGTCGATGATCTTGGCCTCCTTTGCCTGCCTATCAACGGAGATGATATACGGTGTTCTAGCCTCAACCATCCTATCACACTGTACATTAAAATCCTACAGAACTTTGAAATCCCCATTTTCTACTACTCACTCTGGGATATGCTTGTATACCACTGATCTTCCAGTTCCCGTTAAGCCTTCCCATACATTTACCAGTTCCTTTTCCCGCAATCGCCGCCATGTTTTCTCACAGTCCACTTCCTCCATGTCCCTGACATATTGCCCATACATTTTTTCTTTCAATCAGTTTGCCATTTCTCTCTTTTTATTCTTCTTACACTCCCTTGCATCCTTTGCTTTATTCACCGTCACTGTTCCTCTCTCACCTAGTTTCCTAAGCAACGCCTCCGGGCAATTTCTTACATTCCAACTTAAATTTTTTTCGTCCCCACTGACACAGGCTTCGCGGCTAATTAACCCTCTGCCCCTTTCTTCCTTGATAGATATATTCTTGCAGTATCACTTCTTGGGTGCGAGCTACTCATTCATTGTCATCACCTTCCTGGTCATCCTATTGATTTATTGGAGTTCATTCTTTGTCCATCTGATCACTCCTCCACCATATAATAGCAATAAAGCTACAGCCCATGTGTTTACAGCTTTGATTTTTTTCCTCCATTCGATTTAGAATTCTTTACCAACTTCAGTCTTCGCAGGTAGTCATAATTAAGAGTATCCTTCATATCCTTCTCCTTCACTCTATCCAGTTCCATCATTCCCAGGTGCTTGTACCACTCTTCACCAACACCTGTTGTCTCACCATTCACATGTCGAATACCTTCAGTCTTACTCAGCTTTCCACTTTTCACTACTGTCGCTCCGCACTTTAAAACAAATTCCATTCCTATATCACGGCAGAGGAGTTGGACCGTGGATACCCGATTATTAAGCTCGTTTTTCAATCTCCGTAAAAAGCAAGTGGTTTACTCTGATGTTGCAACCTGCAGTGCCTTTTCTAAAATGCTGTACCCAACGTTTATCCACAAGCGGTTAGTTGAGTGCTCTAGCTCTTCACCGATCTTTCCACAGAGTCAATTAAATTTGTGCTACTTGGTCTAATTTTAGACTCCCGAAAATCCAAGAATGTGTAGTTTTTTATAGTCTATGCACAGCATAACCAATTTTTTGTGCTCATGTTGGAGATCGTTTTGTCAATAAGGAGTTGCTCCTTGTTGTTGGTTGCTTGTTCCGCGATTCTTGGCATCCTTTTTGTTCAGCAGGCGCATCCTATTCTCCTAGAGAAAAGTGTAGATCTAAGCAGAAATCAATTTCCACATGAGAGGTGAACAGGATATTGGTCTGACATTATCAACTGCATTCCCCCTTGGTGGATCTTTTTGACAGAGCAAATTTATTGGCAGATGCTGTCACTTGCTTACTCCCTGAAAAAACACGTGACATCGCTTTTATCCCATTATTTCTTAAGCGCCTGCAAAAATGGCGTGTATGATAAGATCTATTGCGTTCTAAATAAGTTTATGACTTGAAACGTACAGCGTGTTGTCGACGTGTTCGGGCTTTGGCATGTGGTACCCATTTTTAATTTCTGCAATTGTTTTGGCTTCTGACCAGCCTGGATATGGAATACCTCCTGTGAATAGTCAAAGACGTACATTTCGTTATTCAATCTTGAAGATATCACTCGATTTTTTTGCATTAGAAACTTCATACATGTTCACTTACTGATCTTGAATACAAGTTTAGAAACTTTGATATTAAGGAATTTAATCACCCGTTTTAAATGTTCATTCTAGACATTTTATAGTCATCCTACTGATAAACAATTACAGTCACACTTCCTTGATACGTACACCACCTGTATTGCGAGCACGTAGCTCTACCCCTCTGTCTCATGGTAGAGCTTGTTTGGAGTTTTCCTTATGCCAGGATCGAAACAACTGCCCGTAATACAGAGTTTGAGGAGATGTCGCCTGTATTGCTGAAGTTAGTACGGAAATTCTAGACTGTATTAGTTCAGTTTAGATTATTGATTTTCAGTATATATTGCATTTAAATATTTGTGGGATCCACAATCACTTTAATTATATCTGTCCCCTTAGAAGCTCTATGTCTCAGAGAGAACGTAAGGGACTTTTAGCTGCGGGAGCGAGTGAAACTATCACATTTTACCCTTTAACTCTTATTAGTTCCCCCTCAGAAGGTAACTTTAGGTATAAGGTTATTGTGGCGAGTGATCAATTATAGGAAGCGGACATAGGAAGTCCCAGTTTTAATTAATTCAATCATAATCTCTTGAGCGATTTTTACAAAATTAAATTTTCTATAACGTTTGTGTACAAAGTTAGAAAGGTGGAAATCTTTTTGTTTAGACAAAAAGTTTTAATATATCACCTACCAATGGTAAATATCTCGTACAGAACGATTCCATATGACCACCTGCCACCAAGTGAAAACATAATTAGAAAGAATGCTTGTTGCTTGTTATTTTGTGTTTTCTGAGTTGTTCAGCTATGAAACACTGATCACTTTTTATGCTTTACTGATGCTTGGCAAAATCCTTTTTGGAGAAAGAATCCTATCAATGTACGCTGTTACCTTTCAACGAAACGTACATATCAGATTTTTGGCAGCAGTAATGGATCTTGAGAATGGTCATATTAATTCGAAGTCGCAGTTTGAACTCGCCGTCGGTTTGCACAATGGTCAAAAAATCCTTCTTTAAGCAACTACCCAAACCGACAGGATTTATATTATTTTTATTTTATTTTATTAGCTTCGCCAAAAAAAACAAACAAGTAGAGAGAAACGACAGGTCTGCCCGGGATGAAGAGGTGGGGGTGACGTCACAATACCTTGGGGAGTGACGTCATCAAAATGATGAGATCATAACTTAAAAATAGTAGATGATGATCCCGTCAAAATACACGAGGGGGGTTACGTCATCAAAAAAAACGATGAGATCATCATCAAAAGTAATCATTTAATATGGTAACTGGTGCGATGACATCATCAGTTAAAATTAGAAAGGGTTTTTTTACATGATCAGCTATTTTCTATAGTCTATGACATCATTATTTATTTTTATCGATCCTTCTATTTATATAATGTAAAAAAAAAAGGCTAAGAAAGTATCATCCTTAAAGACATTTGTTTCTGAAGTACAAGTTGAAAATCATGGTTGGATCAGACCAGCTCATAATTGATGAAGTTGAAATGGGAGTACACCTCATGCACCTCATGCACCTCATGCAAATAGATTTTTCAAGATGTATTTGTTAGAGAAGTGAATCGTCTGATCTAGTAGCGCAGCATTATTTCAATTTTGACTCACCATTACAAAATTAGCGTTTTCTCCGTTCGATCTCGAGGAAACGACGAACTATTGAAGTCTCAGCGCTTGATGAGCTTATAGTCTTGTCAATTCACGCGGCGTTAGTTAGTTAATAATGCGAGTTCACAAACCCAAAGTTGAATACAAATTAGTTCATCTTTTGCCTAGTCCCTAGGCCTTATTATCATGCGAGACCGATGCTTTTCGGGTCACGTGGTCCGAGAAAGTTTTTGAGGCCTAGACAAACTCGGAGAAGTGAGACATTTTGTCTCACTTGGGGCGGAGCTTTTGGAAGCGAGCGAGCTGTCAATAACTTTTCCGCGCTGATGAAAGATGTCCAGCAGCCATTGAAGAGTACGGAGGAACGAGCATTTTTATTCTATGCACGTTTTCATTGTTGAAAGTCGTTTGGCCTTTATTTTTCATTTATCCCATTAAACTAATCTGAACTTTATTTCGTCTCAAAAACTATTTGTAGGCTAAGCAAAACAGCGTCGCAAAAAAATTATTTGATCAAGAATCGGAAGGTAAGCTAAAGAAATAAGTTTTAATATATTTATTCTTGGATATGACAAGCTATCTTTCGTTTCTCTATTTTCGCTTGCTCCTATAAATTTCTCGTTATCTTTTCACTTCGAAATACTTTATGTAATTTAATTTTTGGATTTGGAAGCTTATCAAACTAATCGGACCGGCTGTTGAATTTGGTCTCTAAACTTGGTAGAATGTCAACAAACTGCTGTTTGAAATCTTTTTATCAATAAAGACTATCATTTTAATGGTTCATTTGAAGATGGACTAAAAGAGAAATTACTTGCACGTTATGCAGTAGTATTCTTTCCGATTCAAAGTGATATTTTTGTTCTTTTATAACACGAACTAGGTTAATTACTTTTGTAATAGTGTCAATAGTGCCGATCTTTAGCAAAGGATATTCACGCGCAAAGTTATTTATAGATTATTTCAGTTGACCTTGTGAACTTTTCAAAAAAAATGCTCACGCATGCGCACTCCGAGATTGTCTAGGCGTCTCCCGGCCGTTCGTCTCGGATACGTCACCGAAATGCATTGACCGAGAAGGCCTGAAAAGACGCCGCACAGGGACTAGGCAAGTTCATCTCTACAGCTAGACCCAAGGGAGCACCTTGAGCGCAGTAAGTAATAAAAGAGAGAGTTTATTATATTTAACACCTGCCCCGGCTTCCGTCATTATTAACAGTGCTATAATTTTATTCTGTTAAGCATCTTGCTATAATTTTTTTTCAGATCAACTCATTTGTATTTCAACATACACGTCACTTTTAGTGGAAAGTTCTGCAGGATTTCCGTAGAGAATCTCAGGTGCCGTCCACTTAACAGGCATGCAGCCCTACGATAACAATAAGACAAGACAATGAGACATATACATATGCTGTTGTTTTACAAAGGTCTACTAGCATTATCTAGCTGGGCTGAAATTGTACTTTCTATTGTAATTTTAGATACGAACGACAATCGTATATTGAAGTTAGGTTATTACGTTGGATTGTGCAAGTTGTTTTATCATTCTATTTTTTCCTCACCAGTTTGCTAATGACAAAAGTCCTCTCTACTACGTCGATGTTAATGATAGATGTTATTGTTATTTATGGACATTATCAAATCAATTTACGTGAACGCACCATAGATCAACAATAATAAGGGAAACAGTGTAAATATAGTGTTAAAGGACGATCAAAAAGAATTTCCTTTTCTCTAACATTATAAAGATCGTCAATAACGGATCTGTCAAGAACGGTGGAAAATCATCGGAAAAATTTGCAAAAAAAAAAAGTGTGCTGGCTAGCCATTTTTCTTTTGTTTCTTTTCTACCAAGACTTAAGTTGAAAAAGAAAAGTACAGGATATAACTGTGTTGAACTCAAGAGAATTATTAAAGAAATAATGACACACGATAAGTCTGTGCCATTTTCATAGGGGAAACAAGAAGAGAACTTGAAGCGTTTCAAGTTTGTATCGATTTTATTGTAGCAGTTTATCTAACCTATTATTATATGGCCATGTCTCAAAAGGACTGGAAACAAACAAATTCAAGAATTTGATTGGCTAAAATCGATCTTGACCGCGGTCTAGATTTTCCCATCTAGACTGGCATCTAGACCGATCTTGTTGTAACAGTTGTCCTCAAAAAGTTACAAACAAAGAATATGAAAAAAATGGCTTGTTCCTGTTAATAATACTAGGTGGAAAAATCAGTGGATCTTCACGAGGAAGCAGGTTAAAAAAAAACGAGCAAACGTTGGCAAATTTGAGTCCTGCCGAGGAAGCTACGAGCAAAGATGAACAGTGAAGTTATTTATGTTTTTGTTTCTTTGCTTTCTTGTTTGGCCATATAATAAACATCTTATTAACCGAGCTAGGTCGGTCAGTATGGGAGAATCTTGACCTCGGTCGCTGGTACAGACCACACTGCGTTCGGTCTGTACTTGCGACCTCGGTCAAGATTCTCCCATACAGACCTCACACTCGGTTAATAAGGGCTAAATACAGTCATGAAAAAAATACTTGGAGTAGCGAATTCTAGCTTTACTAAAATGCCGGGTTCTTTGCCATTGAGACTACTAACAGTTTGACTGGAAAGAGACTCTTAATCTTTCCTTCAACATTACTAGCGCGCTTTGCTCGAGGGACTTAAAAAGAAGGGGCTCCTCTAAGCCTACTAAAACACACAAAACTACAAAACTGTCCCTTTAACTGTATTCGGATAATACTATAGCGAGCGCCAATGTTCCTGTCAACTTTGTCAATAAATCCATCAGAATGATTAATTAGCGTTTAACAAAGAGCTAGAGTTTGATAGGTTAAAAGAATGATTTCCCAGTAATCGGAGAGTTAGTTATGCGCAAAGGATTATGGGATCGCCAGGGGGCAAAAATTGCAAGTCAACAAAGAAATGTTTGGCGTGGAGCTGTATATCTATTAAAAGCAGTGTCTTTGGACAGAGAATGCCACATTTTGCCCTGAATTTTATGAGAAGCAGAGGTGACTAATGTTGGTGCGTTGAAATTGTAAGTTTTTGTGGGATCAATGCGATGAAATCTATCGATAAACACTGATTCTTGCGAAAGGTCGACTCTGAATTTACTGAATAGTCTCGAAATATATAGTATTAACCTAGTTATAAATAAGCGGGGAATGGGGACTCATTTAAGCCTTCCCAGTTGTACTTACATGTGCTCATATTTACAACGAATGTAATTAAGCTCCTCTCGACGGCGATCACAATGCTAGGCCGGTTTGTGACAACGATCGAAGGTGAGCATTTGATACGTATTAACTTTAAAAACAAAAACATCTTTCCCACATTAGTATATTGATTTCTTCTCGCGAGAAAAACACAAGCGAAATGTTTTGCCATGATCCACAACACCAATGAGTTCTAATGCCTTTTCCAGTCATTTTGAGGGAAGATATAGAATCTCTGAATTTCGCATATCAACTTGTTCTTTTATTAATTATTTACACACTCTCTGCTTTTGTATTGGAAATATTACTCGTTCGTACGATTTCTGCCTCATCTACTAATGGTTAAATACCATGTACTTTCCATGAAATATTTTGTAGATGTCACTTTGTTTATACCAAAGTAAGGGAGGATTTTTTATTTTTATGGCCACTTACATACCTACGATTGTTGTCTTGTCATAACCCGCCAAGCGCCACACAGCGCTGATCGCGGCCGAGCGTAGTTACACTCGTCGTAAGTATCACCACACGTAATTATAACTTAAACGTTTAAATGAGCCAATCCCCCGACAATTATACCTAAATTTGCACTAAATATTTCGAGACCTTTTCTTCATGTCTGTGTAAATTCAGTAAACGTAATTATAAATTTCACACTCAACCTAACGCAAGGAGTGTTTATCGATAGAATTTATCCCATTAATCACACAGAAACTTGAAATTTCAACGCACCAACATCAGTTGCCTTCGCTTCTCATAAAATCACAGCAAAATGCGACATTCTATGTCCAAAGACGCTGCTTTTAACGGAGAAACAACTCCACGCCATGCATTTCTCTGTAGCGACTCGTAATGTCTGGCGATCCCAGAATCCTGTGCGCAAAACATGGGTCTCCGATTACTGGAAAATCATTCACTCGCGTACCTTTTTTGCGTTGCCGTGGCCATACTTGAAGCTTTGATATGATAACCCAAAATCGGTAACCTTGCAAACAAAGTTTTTATCTAGAAGGACGTTCCTTGCTGCCAAATCACGGTGAATTATCTAAAAATAAAGACAGGTTATATGGTCCTAACAAACAGAAACAAATTTGATCACTTCTTTCCAATAATTTTTAGTCTCTAAAGATGCGAGTATTGAGGACGTTTGTTTGGGAATATATATGGTAATCTGAAAACCGACACTCTGCAATAAAATTTTAACCTTGCACAATCCCTTCCTAAAGGGTCCAATACTTTTCTATTACATTTTAATCTCTAGTAAGCGACCACCCAAAAAGCCAGGACTTAGTGGTCGCTTATGGGAAGTGGTCATTTACCAGAATCGAACCTCAGGGGGTCTCTTCCAAGATGAGTTCCGGACAAGTCTAAAAATAATTCATTGCAAGCAATTTCCATTTCACAAAATATGTATTTCTAGTTGGTTTCTAATAGCTCTTCTTATGCTCTACGTAGCCCAACCTACAGATTAGTTTGTTATCTACTAGCAAATATCTGACTGCTTTTCCAACCAACGATACTATAGCGATAGAACAAGCAAAGCGCTGGGCAAATCGTTACTGCACCCAGAAAAGTATATGGCTATCTAATTCAAATTTTTTTAAGAGGAAATATTAAGCGTTATATTATAAGCTTAGTTATTCCTTACAATTGGTCTTAAGTCCTGACCTGATTGTAATATATAACATATTCTTTCTCGCCTAGGTACAGTGAAAGACTGAAACCGCTCAACAAAAGCCGCTCCTGGCGTTTTCTTAAATGAAATTTGTCTTCAGTTGGTACGGACAACTAAATCTAAAGCGGAGTAAAGAAGCAAGAAGGAAGTGATATCTACTTCTACATTCCATAATTGTTTACATACCCCTCTGCTTCCAAGATAAACCATTCCAGTAGCAATGTGCTTCGCAAATAATACCAGGTCATATGGCTGCAGCTCAAAAGCCTCACCCTCTCCATGATGATATTGGTCGTGAATTCCTCGGCTCTTTCTCAAATAACCCAGCAGGTCTCCATATGCCATGTACTCCATGATCATTATTGGGTGAACTGTAAAGAGATACAATGGAAATAACTGAATATTCCATTATCGCTACAGTGTGTTAAATGAAAAAGAAAAAGAAAACTAAATATCGTGTTGAAAACGATAATGAATGAGGATTTTTACTTTGTGTCGTAACGCAGCCGATGAATTTGACAACGTTAATATGTGGACCTTCTGCTAGACCTTTTCCTAACTCAATTTCTTTCATAAGAGCTTTTCTTCCTTCTTCTCCAGCAGTCGCTACAACAGACGTGATAAGAGCAAATTCAGTCAGCTTTGGTTCCTAAACACGCCCGCCACAGGACACTAGGGCCAGCCACAATAGCTATTATCTAAAGCACCCTCGTACTCACAATCAAAGCTAAACGTGTCTAGTGCAATATGTTGAACTGACTCACGTGTGAAGCATTTTGCTGCCACAATCTGTGCTACATGCTTTTTGTCTGATTGCTTCAACGTTGCTTTCCAGACTGCTCCAAATGCCCCAGAACCAATCACATTTTTTAGCTCTATACGGGCACGTGCAACCTCCCATTCATCCGCCTCGTGATCCAACTCCTCCAGTTCAAGTCCCGGATGTTTATCAGCGAGACTGTAAAGGTGAATAGGTGGCAAAAGGCTATTACTAAGAGAATTAAGATAGTGTATAATTATGCAAGACGACTTCAACAGAGAAAAGAAATATATAACTAAACATCACGAAAAAAAAAAAACAAAACAAGAAAGCAAACAAACAAAAACAATACGACTGGAAGAACGCTAACCGGGATAAATTTTTTTATCATTTTAATAGTGGGTCTTTTAAGTCCACAATTACCAAACGAGTCATGCCAGTGATTTGAGAATTGACAGATGTCGATGTAGCAGAGGCCAACTAAGTTCTTTATATTTTTTATTCAAAGAATGGAACGAGATCCCTCGTAATGTCAGAAACAGTGAAAGTATTCGCAGTTTTAGAAACGCTGTTTTAATTCTTTAAGCATAATTTTGATACGAACAATGAATATTTGTACCTTTTATTGTCTATTTTACGTACTTAGTGTTTTTATAGTTTAGTATAGTTTTGATTTAGTGACAGGTCTCGTTTGAAAACCACCCATGGGTGATGGCGACTTCCTGAATAAAGATTTTAATTACTTCACTATCAGTTTAGATATATAATCTTTTCACTGTTTTTCTTCAATTTTGAAAGTGTTAGTTTAATCGTATTTATCAACGTATCACAATGCTAGCAAAACCCTTCATTCGCTTGCTCGATTTTGGTGTACTCGAGAAAGACTGTGCTTGAATCGAGTAAGATCTTTGTTGAGCATGCGTAGCGTGTTGCTAAAATATTTGAACCCAGGCCTAATAGCCGTCCGTTTGCTACAGCTGGCTCGGCTATAGCAAACGCGGTTTAACATTAAACGGATGCTCGAACTCGAAAAATATTTTGAAAAAGAGAAAAAGAGATTGACTACCCCAGAAGTTTGGGCTGCGGCAGCCTTAAAGGCTTGACGCGATTTGGGCAAAGCCTTTTTTTCTCCTCGATAAAGAAGACAAAAGGAGGCTATGATTGCAGAGTGTCAAAGTATTTAATTGATCCCTCAAAAATACATAATGCAGGATTGAAAAAATTTATGACACTTACTTGGCCTTGGCTGTTCCCCATGAAGAAGAAACAAAGACGAAAAAATAACTAGTCAATACAACGGTTTTTTAAATATGTTTAAAAGGGCAAAGCAATACTAATAACAATGCTAAGGCAAAGGGCGGTCACCTGGTACCAGGAAATGAAAGGGTTGGAAGACCAAGAAAACCGTGCAAACTGACAAAAATAATGACAATTAGATATTTGTAATAATGAAAGTCTATAAGTAAGTTGAATACTAGCAGCAAGAACTATAAGACCACAAAGTAGTCCTTTATTTCGATCAGGAATAGTTGAGTGAGCGACCGAGCGAATTACGAGAGCGCGCATAAAAATTTCTCATGAATTAAGTGTAGCATAATAATTCAATAAGTGAACATTGAAGACCATCATTTTTATAGGACTAATGCAAATTTAAAACAGAAAAACATAACGGTCAAACTTTGCTTGCCATAGTAACGTCATGTTGACGTACCCGTTACCGCGACTCTAACATGATCCCAGATCATTTTAGGAAAGTCCCTAGGTTTGGCAGTCATAACTTGAACGGTTGTGAAATTATTCAACTTTATCTTGAGAGGAGACCACAAACGCTCTGCCCCAGTCTGAATAGGGTTAAGACGTCGATGAGAAAAATGTAGCATCTTTATAAGGGGAAATAAAGGCATTCACTTTTCTTGTCGGGAACTCTGCCTGTTGCTATGATGCTATGATTTTCTGAATTTTCTATTTTCTGAATTTTCTGATTTTCTAAAACTTTATTGCCAAATTTACGGATAAAGAAATACTTGCTTTAAAAATATGCAAAACATCGGGGATCTTTACGGACTGTTAAATTTGTTTGAATTATATTAACAAAAATGATCCTTTTTTCACAGCAATATTAAAACGAAATCCCGAAAATACATAGAAACTTGTCGCATGGACAAACATAAAGCTCCTAATTCTTAAATTTAGCTCGAAATGCTTTTCAATAAGCATAATAATAACACTAACTGGTCATTACATTTAAAATTACAAATAGTTTATTACCTAAAAACTCGGTCGCGGAAATTCTGCAGCCTGTCATAACATATGCCACAGAAATTCGGTGGCCCGTGATAACCCATGCAAGAGAAATTCTGTGGCCTTTGAAAACTCATGCCGCAGAAACTCTGTGGCCTTTGAAAACTGATGCCGCAGAAATTCTGCAGCTTGTGTTAACCTATGCTGTAGAAATTCTGCGGCCTTTGAAAACCCATGCTGCAGGAATTCTGCGGCCTGTGATGACCCATGCCGCAGAAATTCTGCGGCCTTTGAAAACCCATGCCGCAGAAATTCTGTGGCCTGTGATGACCCATGCCGCAGAAATTCTGTCGTAATCATTCTGTCGTATACAGGAAAATGTTGTTTTAATTCATTGCTTGTTTTCAACTAAGTGAGACGAGGGCCATGTTTGTGTCCCAAATAATAAAAATCAGAGACAGTTTTTGCATAAATATAGAATTGAATTCCCAAAAGTCTTGAACTGTTTTGTTCAGGGACACAAACATGGCTGCTGTGAAGCCAGGTGAAAACTAATGAAAATAATAACTACTAAAAATGAATGATTTGAGGCTCATGTCTGTGTCCCAAATTAAATGGAATTCCAAAACAGGCTTGAACTGTATTGTTCATGGACACAAACATGGCCCAAGTGAAAACGAATGAAAAACTAATGAAGGTGCTAACTACACACACTAAAATGTATCATACGCGGGCCATGTTTGGGTCCCAAATAACAGAAAATGGTTACACAGTCTTAAAGAATGGAATTTCCCAAAGCATGAATTGTAAACTATTGTTTATTGACACAAACATGGCCGCTGCGATGCCAGGTAAAACTAACGAAAATATTAACTGCTAAGAATGTATGAAAGGAAAACACAGTGCCCACATTTCAAATATTGAACTTCGTAGACTCTGAGGAGTGGGCTGTTACATCAATTGTTACTTTCAAAGTTTTATCACAGTAAGAGGGTTGCAATCCTTGACTGTAATGTTTTAAGTTCGCATTGTGGTACACTGCTCAGCCGCAGTGCCTTACCGCCAGCCTTTAAGGCTGTCACCGTTGCATAACCACTGCTGCTGGAAACATCGACAATAGCACCCCCCTCTTTTAAGAGATGGTTCACGAGCCATGTGTAGGCACCCACAGCTAGTGGTTCTGTGCTGCTACATTCTGAAGGCACATGCTCCTCAAAGATCAAATCCTCACTTTTTTACCAGAAAAATGTCTAGAGGTCATCTGTCTTGACACTGACCAATGTCCTACCACAAACGCGTCGAGGGACGCCTTCAAACATGGTATACTAAAAGTGTACGAGTGTGAGAGGTTGAACATATCCACAGACTATTACTTGTATATGTTGTGTGGTTCCAATTTTTTTTGGTTTAAAAATTTACAAACCAGTTTCATTTTTGTTTCCCTTTGTCTCAGATGATGGTAATGGATCAGAAACAAAAGAAAGCAAATATAAAATTGGTTTGAAAATTTTTAACCCCCCAAAAAATTGGAATTACAGCGCATACTTTATTTATTACCAATTTTTTAGTTGATACTATTGCTAAAACACTCCAACAATCAGTCAATGAATTTTGATTAGCTCAATCTTATCATCCAGATTACACCCAAGATTTATGGTATTTTTAAAAAGAGAACCTGATCTTGGTGATCTTGCAGTTACTTTTCCCAATAAACGAATCACGACTATCTGTGGTCTTTGACCATTTCTCAGCACTCCTAAAATACCAACAGTCAACGCAATAACTGTTAATTATCTTATTGTTTGGTTGTGCTTGTAGTATCAGGGTAATCACAGAGCCAAACGTTCACGCTTTTAGCCAGGCATCTTGGGAATTTGGACATCCAAGGAAGAGTACTTACATGTTGCACTGTTCTCAACTGCCGAGACCCTTTAACTTTTTCAACTTGGCCTGATTTTGATAAGAAAGAGAATATATTTAAGCCGGCTTCCCGGTGTTTGCGTTTTTCAAAGATGAACTCGAGGCAAGAAAATCGCTCAAAACTTTCTTTTACAACCAGAATTATCACTAAATATTCTTTGGAACGTTTTCTTTCTATTTGCGGTGAGAAAATGTCTGAAGGCTTTTTAAAGTTATCCAATCAAACCTGATACTCGGTCAGATCATTGTCTCAAATCTTACAAACGTGCATAAACTAAATAGCCCCATAAACTACACTCGATTTCATTGAATTAGATATAAAAAACAAACAGCAAATAAAATAATTACTCAGGCTTACCATTCGAGATGCACTCAAAACTATCAAGTAAGGCCAAAATCGCTTCAGACTTTTCAACCCTCTTACGCATCAAGCAAGGTGAAAAACGAAAACGATGCCATCCGAAATCGGATTTCCGACTTTGACAAGCGACGTAATTCTCAACCACAAACCCGATAAACAAACTAGCCATGAATAACGGCAAACTCTTGATAGCAGCTGAATTTCATTTTGTACAATGTTCAGTGGAAAAAGACAGTTAAAAACATCACAAGTTGACGCAAAACTCTGTCAGCTACAGCTGTCAAAGTAAACAAGTTTCAACATGCTGCATAAATTTTCTGCATAAACTCACTGTCAAATTTTGATCAATCAGAGCATAAAAATTGGACGTAGGGCGTGACCAACGCGTGACCTTGGTGAAAAAAGTCAAAAGCAACTGGCATGTCTTCCCTGCCTGTAAAAAGTGGCTGAATCTTAGCTTCCGAGGTCAGTTTGAAACCAAATTTGAAATTTTAATTGTGCTGCACATATAAAACACAACGTAATTCATCTGAATTGAAAAAATTAAACTTGAGCCTGCAATCATTTGAAAACTAGTAACTTGCCAGCGGATAACTTCAAAAAATACTCGACCTCGATGGGTCGACACCTGAGCCCGCGATGCGGTCAGGTGATACTGGTCAGCGGGACCCTGTTTTGACAGCTGTC